CTGATAAAAGCTGCTGACTGCAGTTTGGGCATGCGTTTATATGTCCTCACTGCAATCAGTATAGAAACCTTTTAAATTATAAATAATAATGTGTTAGAGATATATAAGGTAAAAGCAGTACTAAATACAGTCCTCTCAGAATGTCTGCATAAGTATCACTTATTTCAGTTGGAAACTTCCAGATAATATAATTAATATACTATGTATAACTTAATATACATTTTAAAGTGCTTCTCTGAAAATGAGATTCTGTTTTCCAGGCTTGTCCTGTGATGATGGAATACTTGATGTCCAGGTAAGTCTGCTTGAAGTCAATTGAAGCACCACTAGATGTTGCTTAAAATGTACAGAATTACATTTTAGAGATCATGCATCATTAAATAAATGTGTTGTTATTTTATGATGTATTATCTCCATGGTAATTTTGTGATGGAAACCTCTATCGGGATAAGGGCTCATAGATCTAGCATATATGAGGAGGTATCCATGCACGTAGAAACTTTGCATTGTCAGAATTCCAGCTCATATAGAATCCTCTTTGTATGACACAATTTCAACATGCACCGATTCATATGATATGTACAACTTTTGGGAGGTAGGCTGTGTCGCAGGCATGACACCAAAGGCAAAATTTTGAGGTAGCCCTTATTCTGGCTACCTATTGACTTTTCACAGTAAAAAATGCCTGAGATTAGTTTAGGTTAAATATATCTGTTTTTATTGTAACAATTATAATGCATAACCAGAATTTACCAGCTCCAAAACTAACTGCTTACTAAAGGTGATTTATGGTACACCATAAAAAGAGCACATAAAGCTTTTTAATAGGAAACGGTCTAGCTAGTCTTATCTAGCTTTATTCTTTCTTACAGTAGTATCAATTTATTGCCTGTATGACTGTTTCATCACCAAAAAGTGCTGGGGCCCAGCCCCAGAAAAGCTTACATTCTGAATCTGAACATTGCAGGGAAAAGGGAGCACAAAAAACTAGTTGGAACCAAATTGAGCAACAATTTTTATACAATTTTCTCATTTGGTATCCTTCGTCTATTTTGGATTATGGCTCTCAGTATCTTCAAATAACATGGCTATGAGCACACACGACTTCACTTGGGACAAAACTGTATTAAAATTATGATACAGATTCCACTATGGAGTATTGGTTAGGAAGTAGTATATGAATCAATGAATCCTCACTGCTATGTCAACTTAAAGTTGGAGATGAGTGCATAGATTTACAATATAATTGCAGCCATTGTAGTGAGTCCTTAGGTATGCAGATCATCTGCCAAGTGAAAATGGTTTAAACTTTTGATCTGCTAAAGCTGATTGTTTAAATATCTGATAGAAGCAAATTTTATACTGTAACTTTATCCTGAAAGAAAAATACGCAACTATCCAATGGAACTCAGATTGGAGATTTTTTTTTTTACATCTGTCAACCTGTTTACTAAACAACTTGTTAGGCTAGTTTTGGGGACTTGTAGTAATATTTCATAAATTAACACTATAAGGAAACATTTATACACTTACTAAAATTGGACTAGAGTGGTGCTCTTAAATTGCCTCAAAACTGGCAGCAAATATTTCTATCTGAAAGCCACAAGAAAACAGCTTGATGGGATTTGGGAAGACTTAAATTCTAACTATATATTACATGTGTTTCTTCTGCCCCACAGCCAACTCTGGATGTCAGCCTTTTCTTCACTCCTTTGAGAAACAAGGCTGAAAAACATGTTTCAACTGATTCATGCAGCAACCTTATTATATTCTCTCCTTTTCCAGACAAGGAGAAATAAGTTATTTTTAAAATACTAATCTGTGCATGTAATTAATAGGTGCAAAAATGGCAGTTTTCTTTTCCTTCATAAGTTTAGTTCTGTTACTAAATTGAACTGCCATTTCACAAGTATACTACTTCTGGAGAAGACGCCCAGGGAGAATATGAGTGCTAGAATGTTCTGTGGTCTGTATCTCTTGAATCTTTAATGCAACTGCACTTGAGGAAAACTCTTCTGAATTGGCTTAACTTGGCTTGACCAGTTAAAATATTTTGGAACTCAGACATGAATAGTAAGTTGTTGTTTGTCATTAAGTGTGGTAATGAGTGGGAGAGAGAGGGGAAAAAAAAGTATATTACAGTATTTGGTTGCTGCATTTTAAATGTTGTCTATTTTCTTTACTCTTAATAATCAAATTTACACTTCAGTGTATAAACCCAATTATTAAAGTTCTGTAAACTAGAGTAATCTCTTATGTGGTGATTTGTATCTGCCTCCTAGTTGGATTTTACAGTATTCTTTCTTCAGCCATTTCCACTTAGATGTATTTATTTTTAAATCAGAGTAATTAAGTAAAATATTAATTTAAATACTTGCTTTAAATCAAGCTTTCCACTAATACTATTTTTTAAAACACTTATGTAGATCTGATCACTGAATCATAATTGAGTAGTAGGCCAATTCACACATTATGTTAAGTTATGATTACAGGTAGTTCTCGATTTACAATCACAACTGACATTGGAATTTCCATTGCTAAGTGCCAGAAGCCACTACAGTCCCAATTGCTATAGTAACTGAATCCCACAGTCTTTAGGTAAGGCAACTTCCTACTGGCTTCCCACAACCAAAGTTGATAGGGAAGCTGACAGGGAAGTTCCAAGTCCCAGGTAGATAAGTGGCTGCTGCCAGCTAGAGGAGGGAGCAAGGGGATGTAAGGGAGAATCCATGAGAGATGTTTTGTGTGTGTGTCAGGGAGGATGCATGAGAGATGTCATGAGAGTTCAAGGTCTGCAACTAGCTAATGTAGAGCAAGTGTGGAGGAGCTGGGAAGGGAGTGGGGGGGGGGGTTTCCCGACAGATGAAACTCTCTAAAAGAACTTTGAGGCATTGTTTACCTTAAAGAATCTTTATTTTGAGTAGCATAACTTCGGCACTACATAATTGAAGCCAAAAACTGAATTCCCCTCCCCTGAGCACATAGTATCAAAGCACAATTCCCTCCTTCAATTAACAGCCATAAATCTTATTCCCCAATTAGCTTGAAGGGCGGGCTTCCTCTCCAGTTCTCCAGCCTGCCAATTCCTTATCAGCTCTGGTTACAGTAACCTTGTTTCTCACGCTAGGTCTAGTGTTGTTATGCCTCCTCCCAGCATCATCTAACTCTAAAAGCAAAAGGTAAAAGATGGCTACATTTCCCTTTGTCAATGCAAAAACATCCAATGTTAGCAGCATTGACATTAAGCCTCTAGGACAGTGGTGGCGAACCTATGGCACGGGTGCCAGAGGTGGCATTCAGAGCCCTCTCTGTGGGCACGCGTGCTGTCGCCCCAGTCCTAGGCCTTCAGCTGGGTTTTATAAAACCTTTTCGCTTTAGGCCTCCGCCGCCGTGTGCAAAAAAAAAAAAAAAAAAGGTTCAATCAGTCAATTTCAACTTCTCGCAGGAAAAAAAAGATCTTGCAAAGTTGGAATTGACTGATTGAACTTTTTAGTCCCACTCAGTCTGCTGTTACCACTGCAGCCATGCCCAACCAATGGGCCACGCCCAGGCAATTGGCCACACCCAGGTAATTGGCCACACCCAGCCAATGGCCACACCCACCCGGCACTCGACGATGCATAAGTGGGTTTTGGGTTGCAGTTTGGGCACTCGGTCTCTAAAAGGTTCGCCTTCACTGCTCTAGGAGTTACAGGGCATGTCTGCTAATACCGTATATTGATGTCACTGAATGAAAGGGATGAAAAATGTTGGTTTTTATGAGCTTAATCAAAATCCTTATCTAAGTCCCATGTTTTGTGTAAAATGACATGAAAATAATTTTCCTGTCAAATTGTAGGTCTATAACAATGTTGTAAGGATCCCAAAATAGGGTTTTAATGGGAAGAGAGGTATACTTGGTTTGTATCAACTACAAACCTTGGTCAACCAACCACTAAGTGGCTAATTTCACACAACATACTAAGCCTGAAGCAATCCATAATTTAGTGCAATTGTGAATCAAGACAATGTATCCTTCCAATATGAATAGCAGCAAAGATTGAGGCACATATGCCTTTGACAACTTTCTTGGAAACTGGGGAATGTACTTGTTACTCTTAGCATCAGAACAGGTGTACTCTATATTTTAGTTTAAGTCATGTTTCTCAATATCAGGAACTTTAAGACATGTGGACTTCAAGTCCCAGAATTCCCCAGCCAGCAAGCTTCTATGTCTTATGTCTTAAAGTTGCCAACTTTGAGAAACACTGTTCTAAGTTATTCTTCATTACCAGTTATTGCAGTCCTTCTATGTGGCTAAAAAAGTAAAAAGCCCCAACAAAAACATGCATATCTGTAATTGTATTATAGGGAGAATGTCACTGAAGCAAGCCAAATCTTGGTTTGAAAAAATTAATGAAAGCTAAGATTTTGAAATGCTAAATTACACACTGCAGGAAGAAGTCAGAATTTACAACTACCTATACATACAGATAGTCTTCAGCTCATGACTGGGTCACTTAACAATCATTCAAAGTGCAACAGGCCCCCAAAAGCTACTTATAACCCAATTTTGAAATTACAATGGCCACATACACACACCCTATAGCACAGGTGTCAAACTTGCAGTGTCACATGATGTATTGTGACTTTTTTTCCCATTGTCGGCAATGGGATGGGTGCAGTTTTGGCGTGACGCATCCGGCCCATGGGCCGGCAGCTTTGACACCCCTGCCCTACAGTTCTGTAATTGCATTTCAGGCACTTGGGCAACTGGCTCACCTTTACAACTGTTTGCAGTGTCCCATATTAATGTGGTCATTTTTTATTTATTTGTTTTGCCATTTTCCAACATTTACTCCTGGTTTCCAGCAAAAAATACCCATTGGGTAAAATTGATTAGCTTAACAACCACTGCAAAGAAGAGTGAAAAATCAGTTCCAGTCACATGATGCCTAAATTTATGATTGCAATGACTTACAACCACAATTCTGAGCAAAACTACCTGTACACAAGACTTGTAGACTGTAAAGAGTTTTATTTATTAGTCACTGCCCAATAACATATCTTTTTTTTTCTTGAAAAAAAAACAACCAGTTTTTACAGGGATATTGAGCACTAGGCTGCCATGGGCCAAGGCTTAGCTTAGATCATGACAGGCATGACACTGGTGAGGGTGACATCACCAGAAATGGACAGCTTGGTGATCTGATTCAGCTCTTTAATGCGGTGATTGTACTGCATGAGATGAGCATCATCAACAGCAACCTTCAGGTGATCTGCTTCACAGAGAATCTGAATCTGTAAAAGGACAGATGTAAAAATTCCTAAACAGTTATAAATAAGAATTACAGAAACACCATGTATTCATGCAACCTGATTCTTGCTTTTTTGCACTGGGCTACGGCCTTGTAGACCTAGCATCTTGTGCTTGTCGTGCTTACATAAAAAACCACCACAAATATTGTATGAAACCAGGAAATGTATGTGTGTGGGGAGGGTTGGCCCCTTCCAGCCTCAAGAGTCTCAAAGGAGAGCAGTGCTAAATTCAGCATCATGGGTTTTTGGGTGCTTGATTTTTTTCAAATAAATATACACATCTTTGGATAGCATACATATTATTAAGTGCACTCTTGGCCATAAAACGTTTTCTGCTTGGCCAGAGGCTAATGCAGTCAGACTAAAACTTATAGAATAGACATTCAATTGAACTGACACAATGCTCTCTTGCATTCTACTCTCATTTTAAGTCTAATCTTTACCACTTTCTGGTAATCTTCAAGGAATCATGCTTGCCTCTATGGTTGGAAGGATGCCCTGACACCCTCATTTTTCTGCCTAGGAAGCAGAGTGTTGGAAATGTCAGCACTCTGCTTCCTACACAGAAAAATGAGACTGTCAGGGCATCCCTCTGAGGGCAGGGAGGGGATTCCTACTCATCAGTCCCATGTCATCTGATCTGCAACCCTAATATCAACCAGTTTTACATCCTGCTTTAGGTGCTATGCAGAAACAAGGCAGCAGATTACATGCATTCACAGGGCTCACTTAAAATGGTTAGCGATTGAGCCATTTTCTGTGCAATAAATTGAACCATATACTAATCAAATAATTTAGACTTGTACAATATCCTACTAGAAAGATACACCAAAATTAACATTAACTAATTAATTAACCTTGTGAACTCTCAAGCTTCCTCCTGTTATATATTCAAGATGGACAGTATTTAATATTTATTTGCTACGTATATTTAGGGGTGTGGGTCTATACATATGTTGTTCATAGTATGTTTCGGTGTGTGTCATGTATGTGTTTCACTTTGAGAGCGGGCAACTAAATTTCATTTTTGATGTGTGCCGTTGTGCCCACAGTAAAAAAAATGACAATAAAGGTTATCTTATCTTATCTTATCTTAAAGTTTAACATATTGTTCAAGTGCAATCACTAGGTATTTTTCCGGCTTGTGTTGAATGAATGTAATACAAGCGACCCATCTTACTCAACCTGAAGCCCCTCCAGGCTACTATAACTCCCAACCCCTAAAATTCCCACTCAATTTGAATATTGCTGGGGATTCTGATAGGAGTGGTCTCAAATGTGAACACCAGAAACAGAATCATAGAGATGGAATCAGGCAAATTAAACTGTCCTTGCAATATTCACATGACTAATTCCTTAAGAAGAAATAACTTAATTGCCATCAAAAGGACATCCAACACAAAAACTTTACCTTAAAAGGTTTGCCAGCCTCAAAAGGAAACCTGGGTGCTGTCCGGTCTTCCTTCCCCCAGTCATCTTGAATCCTGGTGTTGCATACAATCACCTTCATGTTGTCCTCACTGAAGCGGGGATTAAAGTGGAAAGCAACGTCATTGCCTTTCTTCAAATCTACTTGAAATCTGCAAGAAGTGAGAAAAATTGTTACCCCAGTGTTCTACAGGAAACTTGAAAAACAAAGCTTTATTTATTACTTCATCAAATTAATTATTAACTTGAAAACTTGGATCCGCAGTGTGGTGCCCCTGGTTGCCAATGTGCCTCTGGGCATCATCAGGCTATTTTATTTTACTATTGAAACTTTAAATGAGGACTTCGTGGGCTGTAAAATAGCACTCTTCTCATATGTAAACTTTATTTCTAATCATACTTTTAGGTCCATATTGCTCCCATACGCATGCTTAGAAAGTTAAAATTACGGAGGTTTAATAAACCCAGAAGAGGAGAGAGTGGGGTAGGAGGGTGTTGTAGAAAGAATTGTCAAATGCAACATCTACTATTTATCTTCTGTGTGTTTGAAGCAAGTCTGAGGAATCAGATGAGGAGGAGGGGCCTGGAGTGACAGAGTCAGAGGAAGGCTCTGAGGAGCTCCAAGACTTACAGTCGGACAAGGAGCCTGGCCCCTCTACTCATACTCAGGCTGAGACACAGCTGTGCTGGGACCCTGAGTTGGACAGTGATGAAGAACAGTTGGGACAAATCCCAGATGCACGAATGTGCAGGAAAGAAGTGAGTAGGACAGAGGAATGCAATGGGTTGGCTCCAAAGGCAAAGGAGAAGGCATTAGGAAGCCATGCCGAGGCTAAATTATAAAAAGGAAGGTATGGGAGGTGCTGGTTGCCAAAGGCAACCGTTCGTGTTGAGGATCGAGTTTCTGTGGACTGTTTGCCTTGGACATTGACTCAGGTCTGTGAGAATAAAAGGGGTTGGTTTTTTCTTGCAATTCCTGCCTATTTCTTGGAAGAGGGGTTTCTCCTTGTGAGCATAATAAGGACTCACGTAGGCTGGGACAGAATAATTTTCTGGCAGGTGGACACAATCTCAGACTAAGTACTAGAGGTCAGCCACTCATCAGAGGTATCCTCATAATTAAAGAAAATGTTATGGGCTGGCACCTTGCTTTGCACCCTATCAGCATGGCATTTAAAATAACAACAGCAACAACAATAAAGCAGGTTGGGTGGGATGGGGTACCAGGAAGGCCGAAGGGAGATATCTGCAGGCATTACATAAGCTCCACCAGCTCTAGTCATAGCAAATACACCTAAAGTCTTTTGGGCCACTGACCTCAGTTGGCCTTGGAGTGACATACCAGGGGTATGCCAGGAGTTAAGACAAAGAAATGGGTGTTTCAGTTTTAATTAAAACATTAAATCAATTGAAATTCATGATTCCTCAAGTATTTACCCATTTAATCCAGAGCTGCAAACTGGGGGGTGGGGGGAGGGCTGCACGCAGGCCTCTATCATTCTGCAGCCTCCAAAACCTTCCAAATTGATTGAATCAAAATGTGCTCCCCTCTAATCGTCAGATTTATGCCCTACTTTTTATCTTAGATCTCAAGGAGATCTCCCTTCCTTTTTTCCCCAGAATAGCAAACCTGTGAAGGATTATTCCCAATCCTTGTCCAACACTTTAGCCATTATGTCCCACTGGCTACACTTTTGGAGAATAGGTTTTGATTATGACCATCATCTTATAATACACACACAAATCCTAATGCATCCTTGATTTAATTTGGTCCTCCTAATCCTCCCAAGTAATGGATGCCAAAGGGCAGTCCATCCCACAATAAATCCAACTGTATCCTGCAAGAAACTTTAGATCAGTATCACCCCATCACCCCTGCCTTGTTACCTGTTTGGCCTTGGATTCACTGTCCCAGTCACAGTTATTAATAAGCGAGGCATAAGTCCTGAAGGAAGGGGTAAATCGAAAGGGACTCTCTGTAGAGCAAAACAGATTACTTTGCATGAAATCAAATATAAACAACTAACAAAATTAAAGAGTACAAGGTCTAATGCTGTAGCCTGTCTTGACTTTTGGCTTTTTTTTGGTTACAAATATATCTCCTCTCATCACTAACCCCTTTTTTGTAAAGTTATTTCTGAACTCCTTTTCCTTCTGACCTTCTCTTGGTCTCAGATAAAGGCTTTCCCCAAGTTATTCTGCCTCTAGTTTATATCTCTGTCCTGTGATCTTGATTCTCAGGAGGGACGAAGTGCATTCCAGAAGAGCAAGAGACAGCAAAGTTTAGATAGTTTATATAGGAGATGACCAGATGGAGCCTGAGAGCAGGGTCAAATGTATTATCAGTCTGGAGTCCCTATGCCCCTGAAAGAGATCTAAGTTCCCCCCCTTGAAGTCTGTTGACTCTTATCTGGCACCAGTTCACCTTAACAGTTTGTAGATCCGATTCTTGTGTATAGGTTGCATGGAATAAACTCACGGTGCTTTTGAACTCTATCTTGACTTCTGGTTTCTTGTGCCTGACAGTTTATGTGGGAAGAAAAAATGAAGACATCTTCTCCCTAGGAATTCTCAGAGTGTATGTTTAATCTTGCAAGTGGTTTGCTTTGGTTGAGCAAAATTTCTGTCTATGAGTGAGGAACAAAGGAAATTGCTCAGAAGACCCTCAGCATGTCTTTCTTGGTTTTTGGAGCCTGACAGTCCTGTAATATTCCCTTCTATGTGTTGGTCTGGAGTGTCATTAAATGCATTTACAATAAATCATCACTCGTGTTCATTCTGCATCTAATTGACTAGACTTTGGGACTTCCAGTTTAGAGCCAAAAGGTCATTTTTCTCAAAGTAAAATATTTGAACACCCACCAAATATTCAGAGTTTTATTTTGGTCTTACCAATAAGATTTGTTCTTTGTTTAAAGAGAGAAATGTTTAATCAAAAACTGGGGGGGGAGTGCAGATATCTCTTTGCCATGCATAAATCAGAAACAACATATTTTTCTCACCAATGGACCAGAAAATCCTCCAGGTCCACTTTGTGGTGCAGTTGGCTGTGCTCCTTTGTCACTTGGGGGCTGCCCAGGAACAGGACACATTCCTGAGGCCCCTGGTGGAACTATTCCTGGTGTGTTTGAAAATGTGCCAGGCCCTGGTGGGCCTCCAAAATATTCTCCAGGTATTGGTACTCCTCCTGGGCATACGCCTATTACTTTGGGATATGCGCCAGGTGCTCCTGGAAAGGCTCCTGGTGCTCCTGGAAAGGCTCCTGGTGCTCCTGGATACGCGCCTGGTGCTCCTGGATACGCGCCTGGTGCTCCTGGATACGCGCCTGGTGCTCCGGGATACGCGCCTGGTGCTCCGGGAAATGCGCCTGGTGCTCCTGGATAGCCTGAGAAGGCACCAGGCTGATTCCCCCAAGGATTCGGTTGCGTGTTTGGATTAGGATTGTTGGACCCTGACAGGGCATCTGACAGCTGTGAGGAAAATAAGGAATTTGTTACATAGAACCCTTTTTCCCAGCCAGTAGCAATATCTTTGCTGAATTTCTGGCTTTCTCAGAAAGCTGCATGATCCATGGCAATTTATTAATGCCCCTTCTTTAAATGACAATAGAGTGAAGGTCTACTCTAGACAAACTGAAAAGTGAGGCATGAATTTAATAATGATTAAAAACAAAAGGAAAAATAAATGTGGCATTAAAAAGCACAATTTTCTTCAGACTTACCGAAAATCCATCAGACATCTTCCTGAAACAAGAGAGACAACAGGCTAATTAGCAGAGCTGGGGATTTTTTAGAGACTCCACGGTCCAGAACCAAATCTTGGCAGAACTTTTCTAAGACAGAGGAAAAAATGTGAAACTGAGAATATATTTGGGTGCCTTTTGTAGAATGGAAAAACTAAGGCAATACAATCTATGTAACCAACGACTATCTTGGTAGAAAAGAATGTGTGGTTTTGTGTTGTACCTAGAAACACATTTCTTATTCTGTTTTGGCCATTTAAGCACAGGCTGATGATGAGATGAAGAACTCAAATCTTGTACGTTTTGATGGGTCTCAGTAAAGGTATTACCTGACTACTGATGTTTGGATTATTTTCCATAGAACACAGAATATACTTATATTATCATTTCCATTTTATTATATAGAGGGAAGGAAAGGGATAAGTAACAAAATTTCCCTGGATACAATGAAGCTTGTGATGTCAGCAGAGGGTGCTCCAAGACTTCAAACAAATAAAATCAAAACTGAAAATCATTCAAAACACAATCAATGGTGGGATTCAAAAATGTGAACAATCAGTTCTCTGTGTGGATGCCGCTTCTGGAAGTCCATTCTGGGCCTGGGCAACAAAAAATTAGCTACCAGTTCTACCAAAGTGGTGCGAACCGGCTGAATCCCACCACTGATCTCACGAGCTAATCAAATCAATAAATCAAATTTATATTGTTACACAGGATTTCATCACTTTCTGAACATTTTTAATTCAAGATTTTCAAAAATTATGTACAGTTTGTCAGAGGGGGCACCCACAAGATTGTATAGAATTTTAAGATGGTTTTAACCAGTGCTTTTTTTCTATAAAAAAAATAAAATAGGTGCCGGAACTCACACACGTCATACAACCTGCCTTGCCTACCCTACAAGGTTCCATCCAAAAAAGGTGTCGGAACTCCGTTCTGGGCGTTCTATGAGAAAAAAAGTTCTGGTTTTAACTATCTGGAAAAGCTCATGTGTCCTGCTATACATTTTTTAAATTTTGATTGATATTCCACTTTATTTTTTAAAAATAATTCTAGGTGGCAAACATACCTAATACTCCTTCCTCCTCCAATTTTTCCTCTGAGGTGGGTTGAACTGTGATAGATTGGCTGGCCCAAAGTCACTCAGCCAGTTTTCATGCTTAAGGCAGAACTAGAACTCACAGTCTCCTGGTTTCTAGCCTAGTGCCTTAATCACTAGACCAAAGTGACTCTTATCTGGACCACCAGAATTTCCAGTGGAGGCAAGTTCAATTAAATGAGTCCAATGTACAAAATGCATTAGGACACATATTAAAAAAAACACAGTTTGGAAGAGGATTTTTTCTTTCTTTCTTCTTCCTCTTTGTGTGTGTGTGGGGGGGGGAGAGTGGGTTAACTATAAAAGGCCTCAAGGAGCAAAAACTAAGTTCCCCTTTTATAGATGGACCTCTGCTTCGTCAAATTTTAAATGCCGAAAAAGGAAGATTTTCAAGTGTCTTTTGCTCGCTCCGAATTTCTTCAGCCACTTGTTGCCTTCCAAATGCCTCAGGAGTGGAACTGAGAATCCTCAGCCACAAATGAATGGCCTCAAAACTGAGGAAAACCAAAGGATAAAGGGAAGAAAAGTGGAGTGGGGGAGGTTTTGAGGTGGACTTAAATAATAATAATAATAATAATAATAATAATAATAATAATAATAATAATAATAATAATAATAATAATAATAGAACAGATTTCTGAAGAAATCTGATTCCAAAAGCAGCCCAATGTCAAAACTTTGCATTGAGCAATCCAAATGAATTACCAACACCCTTTGCTTTTTACAAGCATGGTGTTGACTCATCCTGCAATGAACAGTGAAAACTGTCCTAAAACTTATTTTGGGTTTCTGTGACAGAAACAGAATTGCTAGTTGGGAGAGATCAATCCATCGGCTGGCCTCTGAAGCCCGTGTGCTATACAAACTTCAGACACCACTAAAGCCTCAAAAGCACAGATGCACATAAGCAAACTTTGTGTTTTCAGGGAATTATTCAGGGAAATTGTTGCAGAAGTCTCTTAGACAATGCTCTGTCATTGTTTGTGGCATCAAGTAAAGGCCCCGTGCAAATGTGAGTCATGACTTCACATACCAAGAGTTTGGATTCAAAAATTCTTCTGTGTTCTCTCTATTACAAGGAAGCAGTTTTATCAATCACATAATATAAATTGTATCGCTTTTATAAATCTTGTCCTGAATTAATTCAATAAGATATACAAACGGGCTGATGCTCACAGCCAGCCTGGGAAAGATAAAAGCAAAGAATCTAACAGAACCTTAACAACAAACATTCTTACTGGAATGTTCTATGACTTCTCTGGATTCAGTATGCTTGTAAACACTTCCCCTGAGGGTGAGGCACATCAGATTCTGTTTATTGCTTCAGGAAGGAAGGAAGGAAGGAAGGGAGGGAGGGAGGGAGGGAGGGAGGGAGGGAGGAAGGAAGGAAGGAAGGAAGGAAGGAAGGAAGGAAGGAAGGAAGGAAGGAAGGAAGGAAGGAAGGAAGGGTCTCTGTAAAGCAATGCATCAATGCCATGTACAGGTAGTCCTCGACTTACCACCTCAATTCTGCCCAAATTTTTGTTGCTAAGTGAGACATTTGTTAAGTGAATTTTACCCCATTTTAAGACCTTCCTTGCCACAGCGGTTAAGTGAATCACTGCAGTTGTTAAGTTAGTAACACTGTTGTTAAGTGAAACTGGTTTCCCCATTGGCTTTGCTTGTCAAGAGGTCAGAAAAGGTGATCACATGGCCCTGGGTCACTACAATCATCATAAATATGGGTCAGTTGCCAAGCATCTGAATTTTGATCACGTGACCATAGGGATGCTGCAATGGTCATGTGAAAAACAGTCATGTGCCATTGTAACTTCGGACAGTCACTAAATGAACTGCTTTAAGTCAAGGATTACCTGTATGAATTTTATTTTGAATAATGTCTCTGGGTCCCAACATAACCTGAAAACCTTCACAGAAAGTAAAAACTGTATGTGACACAGCCCAGAGGGGTTTTGTTTTGGAAACAGAGCCCTCCAGTTGTGAAAAGAAAAAAAAGCAAATAATACCAAAAAAGAAGATAGCATCTTGATAGAGAGCAGCTTCCTCAGAAGTCAGGAAATGAGCATTTTTGATGGGCATTTTGAGAGAGTGCATGTTCTCACAATTCTAATTGGGTTCACCCATCCAAAAAAAAGCTGGGAAGTTAGTTTCTGTGAAGCAAAGTCTGCTTTATCAGATACAGATAAATTGGGCAAATGATTGACCAACATCTAGCAAGTTTCATGGTTGAGTGAGAATTTAAAGTTCTCCTCCTCATGAAACAAGCTGCAAACTCTATTAATGAAAATGAAGAATAAGTGAAAAAAAAACATGGGATTAATGTTAAATATACAGAAGCAGCCAACCTTAGAACTAATACTGGTGATGTTTGGAGTGGTGAATAGCTTCTGTCTTTTAGGATTGACAATCAACAGTTAAAGAACCAGCAGCCAAAAAATAGACTTTAAACTTTCCCATGGTAGGGTAACAATGAAAGCCTTGGGAAAGATATTCAGATGCTACAATGGCACCAAAGATCAGAATCATGAAGGCTTTCCCTCTGCGGAAGTGAAAATTGGACTTTGAAGAAGTAGGATGAATAGAGTACTGGTGCTTTTGAGCTTTGGTATTGGAGAAGACCGCTGAAAATATCATGAAGCCAAGAGCCATGGTGGTGCAGTGATTAGAATGCAGTATTGAGAGTGACTCTGCCACCTGCCAGGAGTTTGATCCTGACCAGCTTAAGGTTGATTCAGCCTTCCAAGGTTAGTAAAATGAGGGCCCAGATTGCTGGAGGCAATATGCTAGCTCTGTAAACTGCTCAGAGAATGCTGAAAAAAACACTATGGAGCGGTATGTAAGTCTAAGTGCTATTGCTATAAATGTAAATAAAGGCATCGGGAAAAGTATCAGTCGGTGTAACTCATGGCAAGTTCAGTCATATTCTTGATACATTATTTGAATACCTAGTTCTCTTGAGAAATTCCTGATGCTGGAAAAAGTGGAAAGGAAATAAAACAGAATGACTAGCAACAAGGTAGGTGGACAGGATTACTACAGTGATGCGTTGAAAAAGCTGAAGGTCCAAGGTGGTGACAGATCATCCTGGAGAAAGTCTATCTACAGATAGTCCTCGACTTACAATCATTTGTTCATAATCATTCAAAATTACAATGGCACTGAAAAAAGTAACTTATGTCCGGTCCTCGGACTTACAACTGTTGCAGCATCCCCACAGTCATGCAATCAAAATTCAGATACTAGCAACTGTCATGATTACAACAATCGCAGTGTCCCAGGATCCTGTGATTGCCATTTATGACCTGCCCAGGGTCACTTCCAATAAGCAAAGTCAATGAGGGAAGCCAGATTCACTTAATGGATGTGATAATTAGCTTAATGACTGTGGACAAATAAGGTCATCAGCCGCAACTCACTTAATAAGTGCATCGCTTAGCGATGGAAGTTCTGGTTCCAATTGTGGTCATAACTTAAAGCTATCTGTATGTGGTCACTAAGAGTCAACACTGAACTTGATGGCACATAATTACTTAATCAAAATCCTAATACAATTCTACTCTCATTTCCACTTTTATTTTTATTGTCAAGAAGATTGCTAAACCCTGAATTGTTGAAAGGAATCTGAGGAGCGGTGTCCAAAATATCAAGATAACCATGATTACATAATTAAACCCGCCTTAATTTTGACATATGTGATGTCAAAAAGGGCAAGGTTTCAACCATGCAGTCGTAGATGCCATCTTGAGTTTTTTGACAATCCCTCCCCAAACACCTGCCAATAATTCAGAGTTTTACCTGCTCCACCCAAATCTAAATGTTCTGTCCTAGACATCACTCTACTTTTCTCTCCTGCATTAGGAAGAAACCAAAAGCTGCATGTTTGAGATCTCCAGTCTCGGCCACAGACTGCAGTCCTCAGTGGAGGAGAGCTGTGTTAGTCAATGGCTGCAAAATATCAGGAGGGGTCTGGTAGCACTTTTTCTGGTTGATG